GTTACCAATTGTACAAATGTCTACAGTAATTATTATTTTTAGTGTGGTCTTGAATGCAATAAGTATTAAACTCTATGCTTCCTGAACCTAATCAGAATGTATTTTTGTTCATTAGTCTTCAAGAAAAAATCAAGAGGCAATGGCGTCATCGGAGTCTAATTTTCAATCCACTAAAGAATCTCTGGACAGTGACAACAGCTCAACGTTGTGCATCCCAGAAATATCTGATGCTGATTTTGCTGTTCCTCCTCTGTCAAGAACTGACAGTGTATTTGTAAGTTTACATAACATAATCTTTAATACACTTCTAAGTAAAAAATAGCTTTACATGCAGTATATGTACATTTATAGTCTGCAGTGGGGATTTTAGAAAATGTTGACTAATGCACGGTTGAAGTCTTAAGATTTTCAAAACCCACTTCAATTGGTTGGTCATTTTAAAGAAGTACTCGCATCCTAATTTTTATAAGTTGAACAATTATCAATTTTTATTTAGTTTCAAACAGCTATTCATGCTGGTGAAATCCCCAAGTTGTACTTGTCTATTTAATTTTTTTGTCATGTTGTCAAAAGCCTCCCATTGGTCACCTCTTGGCTTCGCCATTGCGCCTGATGGTGGATAAAGTAAAATCTTGCACTCATCAGTTGTCACTTTGCAATACCTTGAATAAAATATTAAAGTTTTCCCCTTTTTACTCAGTGTAACTCTTAGCTAATGTAATATCTTGCCCCAAAACATTTAGTTTTATTTAAATTGCCTGTTAAATTTCAGTTTAGAGAAACATATTTAAGACTGCTGTTTTAAAAAGTAAATCCTTCAGACCGGGGATATCAGTGTACTGCTTGTTTCAAGTAAAAGTAAAATTTGCTGACCGTACAATCATTGTTTGGCCTGACTTTACAATAGTGGTTAGTAAACAGTGTGATTAAATTGAATTGTGATAGCAGTGGTTCAGGACCAAGTAGTTCTAGTGGTAGAAAGCAGATTATTTTTTATTTTTATATCAGCATTCAACGGTTTGTGTATATTCTGCTCTTTTCTTCAGTTTACCAAAGATTTCATCAAAACCTTGTTGAAGAACAATGAGGAATCAGAGGCTTCTTCAAGCTGTGTTGAAAGCTCTGATGAGTATATTCCGCCAAAACACCAAGCCACTTCTGATGATTCCAGTGGATCGGAGCAAAAAGTTTCATTGAAACGAAAGAAGATACAGAAGACTTACATAAGAAAAAAACGGCACACTTCTCCAGTAACAGACAGCGCCACTGCAGAAAGCGAAAACTGTGACACAAAACAAGATGTTTCTGTAATGAAACTAAAGAAAAAAAAAGATGGAAAAAGACTTTACAATAAGAAACACTTTTGTCTGTACTGTCCTGAGCAGTGCCTTAAGATGGCAAGACACTTGGTGCGTAAACATAGTGATGAACCTGCTGTTGCGAAAGCTCTAAGTTTTCCTTTAAAATCAAAAGAAAGAAAACTGCATTTGGACCTAATTAGGAACAAAGGAAATCGAGCTCATAATAATGATGTTTTGAAACATGGCAGTGGAACTCTTGTTCCTAGCCAGCAGACATCAAAACCAGTGACGGCAAATGACTACATGCATTGCATTAATGGTGAGGCCTTGCTTAAAAGAAAGACTTTATGGAGGCACATGTCYAGATGTAGACTTTCACAAAAATGCAGCTCACAAAAGCCAGGCAAAAGTCGAATTCAGTCCATCTGTTCSTTTGCACAGCCTGTCCCAGAAGGAATAAGTGAAAAGTTTTGGGAGATGGTACATTTAATGCACATCGACAAAATCACAAAAACTGTCAAAGAGGAAAGTTGCATTTTAAGGTTAGGGGAACACTTGTATGCAAAGCATGGACACGACAAAGGGAAACACGAGTACATCGGACAAAAAATGCGAGAGCTGGGTAGACTGATTGTACTTGCAAGAAAAACTGGGAAGGTGAAAAAATTTGAAGACTTTTATAAACCTTCCAATTTCAACTTGGTGATCGATGCAGTGAAGGAAGTTGCTGGGTTTGACACAGAGAAGAACACCTACAAAACTCCATCCTTGRCTCTGAAGTTGGGTCATGGTCTTAAAAATATAGCAGATATTCTTGAGTGTGGTGCACAAATGAAAGACACTGTTGATGAACAATTTATTGACAGTGTGAGGAGGACCCGAAATCTTCTGGAAAAAAAAGTGGGATGTGCTTGTCTCATCACGTGCATTGCAGACTCTAAAAGAAGTAAAATGGAACACTYCCCAGCTGCTTCCATTTACTGATGATGTAAAGAAAATGCACATTTACCTTGATGAGGCAAGACAAGAATACCTGAGCAAACTCACTGATAATCCAGACAAGAGAAACTGGTCAAAGCTTGCCAAAGTGACATTGTGTGAGGTCATCTTATTCAACCGCAGAAGAGAAGGTGAAGTKTCAAAGATGCCTCTGAATGCATTCACCCTTAGAGACACATCAGAGGTGCACTCAGATTTGGCAGATGGACTTTCTGAGTTGGAACAGAGGCTTTGCCAACATTTCAAGCGACTTGAAATAAGAGGGAAAAGGAATAGGAAAGTTCCTATTCTCCTTACACCAAACATGCTCTCCTCAATGGAAGCATTAGTTTCACATAGGYGGGCCTGTGGTGTGCCAGATGCAAACCCATATTTCTTTTCAAGACCTGAGGCAGAGACTAATTTAAGAGGATCGGACGCCATCAGAGAGATCGCAAGAGAATGTGGTGCCAAACATCCAGAAACTTTGTCTTCAACCAAGTTAAGGAAACAAGTGGCAACACTATGTACATTGCTGAATCTGAAAGACAATGAAATGGACACACTGGCAAATTTCCTTGGTCATGACATCCGGGTCCATAGGGAGTACTACAGACTCCCTGAAGGAATGACAGAGTTGGCTAAAGTGAGCAAAGTACTGATGGCCCTGGAACAAGGCCGACTATCAGACTTTAAGGGGATGACCATGGACCAAATCCAGATCTCTCCTAATGGTGAGTTAAGTAAATGTCAARGTTGAATTATTTTCCAAATTGATATCCATATGTTTCATAGTTTCCTAAAGTGGGGAAGCATAGCAGTGAATGAAAATAAAGGAATGCTTTGACATTGTTAGCATAATGTATGGGTTTTTGACAGGGATTCCACATTAACACAATGAAGTTAGAACTAAACCATTTACACAAAAATAACAAAACAACTTTATTTACCATTGTTTTAAAAGGTTGTAATTTATTTTATTGCAAACACTTTATTTCAGTTTGCTTTTGTTTGATCATTTGTTCCAAAATGTTTCCGAATCTGTGTGTCTGGTTGGAGAATGTACATGCCCAAGGGGGTGGGTATTTTAGATCGTCCTAAGTGGGTCTGGCAGGAAAAGTTTGGGAAACTGTGCTAAAACAAGATTTGGTTGTCAATGGTTTTTAGAGAAAGTGCCAGGAAATATGGAGGACGAGGTGTCATCAGAGGAAAAAGAGAAGGATTCATCTTTCTGCTCTTCTCCTGAATGTAAGTGATTCTGCTGTTTTAACTCAATTATATTCATTTTGCAGACACCAATGTAATCTTTTTATCCTAGACTCTTTAAGATCCAGAAGGAATCAGTCAACAGCTGAAGAGCTGAGTTTCGGATGTGCACCCAAAGGTATTTTGATGTTTTTAAAATAGCCTTTAATTGCTCCTTTCTTTAGCCACTGAGCTGTTAACG